GTGATTGCGCCCGCTTGTGTGTATGGTATGTGTGTGTGTGTGTTTCTGTGTGTGTGAGTGTGTGAGGACGTGTATGTGTGTGTGTGTGTGTGTGTGTGTGTAAGTGTGTATGTGCGTGTATGTGTGTATGTGCGTGTATGTGTTCTACGCCAGATCTCACCTGTGTGTGTGTAAGTGTGTGTGTGCGTGTATGTGTTCTACGCCAGATCTCACCTGTGTGTGTGTGTGTGTGTGTGTAAGTGTGTATGTGCGTGTATGTGCGTGTATGTGCGTGTATGTGTTCTACGCCAGATCTCACCTTCCCCGCCGCACTGGCAGTGACGTTTGATGAAGTCAAGCAGGACGTCATTGCGACAGTCTGGGTTGAAGATCTGCTCCTGCTCTTCTGTGGGAAAATACATCAAAGTGGTGCATATCATCATCATCCAGTGCCAGATCTACGACAGACATCGGCGATCATGGTTTTCCATTCATTTCTTTGCTCGGATTCTCTTTTTAAAAAAAGCTACGTTTCCCTGATCTTTCCCTGTTACCCATTTGTTTAGGTTCCCTAAGTAGACCCCTATGTTGTTCTGGGCCTACCCCTGCCTCGCTTGCCCTCAATTTTGCCAGCGAGAGCTAGACAGCGTAAATTTCCCACTGTTAATTCTTGTTGTAAAGGTGTTGAGACACAGAGGGTACTGGGAACCGGTGCGGAAAGCACTTATTTTCCTGTTTGTTGGTAGAAGATAGTGCAAGTTTGATGGAAAGAGAGGCAGAGGCAGACAGAGGGAAAAGACACTGGACAAGAGGACAAAATAGCTTGGAGCAGCAAAAACAGACACCATTGCTGCAATGCAAGACAGAGTGAAGTGGAGGTCCATGATCGCCCACACCAGTCGGCAAGGCACCGGATGATGATGATGATGATGATGATGATGATGATGATGATGATGATGATGATGATGGTAGATAGTGAAGGTGTTGAGACAAAAGGCACTAGGGACTGGTGTGAACAGCGCTTATATTTCTGTTTGTTCTTGTTGTGAAGGTGTCAACTACAGAATGATGAGTTGATGTCGTTGGGGGAACCAACGTCTACTGGATAATAAAAATAATAATAATAATAATAGATAGCATTTGTATAGCGTATATCCCCGCTCAGCAGCAGGCTCTATGCACTTTACACTATATTATTACCCCAGCAGACCATAGAACACTCCGAAACATTCTCAGCTTCCCGGGAAGCATACAGTGCAAGCAGCCGATAAGCGCTCAAACACTAACAAACTGACAAGATCTTTCGCTGTCTATAGCCGGGTACCCATTCCCACCTGGGTGAAGTGAGGAAAATTCGTGTTAAGTGCCTTTCCCAAGGACACAACGTCGGGCCCTTGACAGGATTCGAACCCACGACCTTACGGATAGACAGGCTAGCAGGCCTGCCTGTTAGCTTCTCTCGGTCTCAGCGGTACATGCAGTAAGACTAGATGGGTTAAGATGGTGTCAAGGACTTTAGAATAGAATAGCCTTTCAGTCTCACTGGTTAGCATGCAAGTCTGACCGCAGTGACTGGAAGTGGAATGATGTGCTCTGTTTACACAGTAGGCGCTGGTGGGAACGCTTGGTCCCCTCACCATCCTGGTGTCTTAATCCTGTCTTATCATTCTGCTCTAAGAATCTTTATACCCGCACAGTTTGGCGCTCCTAGGTAAGATCTAGAGTTGCCAAGTTCGAAGAAAGACGCACCAGAAACAAAGAATGGATATATGGCAGCTGAGAAAAGACAGACAGACAGACAGACAGACAGACAGACAGACAGACAGACAGACAGACAGACAGCAGAGAGAGAGAGAGAGAGAGAGAGAGAGAGAGAGAGAGAGAGGGGGGTGTTCTAGGCTATCTTTCAGTCTAGTTCAGCCCCAAACATCCCCTGCTCCAACTACAACAGATATGTCCGTGCAAAGATCGGCCTGATCAGCCATCTCCGCACACCCCCCACCCCTCCAGTGATGTGAAGTCAAGGTCATCTTCGCCAGAGAAGGACGAACATCATCATTTTGTTCTAAGAATCTTTATACCCAGTGCACACTGCCAATCGTATCCATTTGGTTCAGTCGGGGCCAGTGCTAGATTTTTTTTTTTCGTGGAGGGGCAGAAGCTACCATTTTGGCTCAGCACAACTGATTTGACTTCGACCTTGAAAAACAAGCGCGTTTGGCTTGAAGGTCACAGTCGAATTTAGTCGAATTCGGTCCAATCACGCCAAAATGGCAGTTTCTGCCCCACCCATGAAGAAAACTCTGGCTGGCCCTAACTGAATCCAATGAATCCGATTGGCAGTAGAACGTGGATATGTGGCTAGATCTATAGAAAGACCGTTACATCACGTCATCACATGATGATGATGATGATGATGATGATGATGATGATGATGATGATGATGATGATGATGATGATGATGATGATGATGATGATGATGATGATGATGATTATAATCGGTCTGAATGCACTCAGTGTTAGAAAAAAGAGAGAAGTGTTTTAAACATTACGTACCTCCGTACCTGACAGTGACGAACATGGTGGGAATCTGATGCCAGGGCCAGTGTGGACAGCGCTTATCTTCCTGTTATAGTTCTCGTTGTGTTGGTGGTGAGACACACAGGGCACTGGTGACAGGTGTAGACAGTACTTATTTCCCTGGTTGTTGGTAGATAATGAGACACACAGGGCACTGGTGACAGGTGTAGACAGTACTAATTTCCCTGGTTGTTGGTAGATAATGAGACACACGGGGCACTGGTGACAGGTGTAGACAGTACTAATTTCCCTGGTTGTTGGTAGATAATGAGACACACAGGGCACTGGTGACAGGTGTAGACAGTACTTATTTCCTAGTTGTTGGTAGATAATGAAACACACAGGGCACTGGTGACTGGTGTAGACAGTACTTATTTCCCTGGTTGTAGGTAGATAGTGAAGGTGTTGAGATGCACAAAGGGTTGGAACTGATGTGGACAACGCTTATTTCCCTGGTTGTTGGTAGATAGTGAAGGTGTTGAGACAAAAAGCACTAGGGACTGGGGTGAACAGCGTAAATTTCCCTGTTAGTTGGTAGATAATGAGACACACAGGAAACTGGGGGCTGGTATAGACAGCGCTTATTTCCCTAGTTGTTGGTAGATAATGAAGGTGTTGAGATGCACAAAGGATTGGAACTGGTGTGGACAACGCTTATTTCCTGTTTGTTGTGAAGGTGTTGAGACGTAGACACACACGGGACTGGGACTGGTGTGAACAGCGTAAATGTCCCTGTTTGTTGGTAGATAATGAAGGTGTTGAGAGGACTGGGGGGCTGGTATAGACAGCGTTTATTTCCCTGTTTGTTTTTGTTGTGAAAGTGTTGAGACATACACAGGACTATAATTATAATATTACACTCTCCAACCAGTTGAGAAAATGTGCTGTCATCAGTCCTACATTGTGGCTTGTAAGATGAGTTTAGTTAGGCTAGAAAGTAAATCGTAGAATCTACTCCAAAAGAAAACTCTAGCTTCTAATTATAAAGGATCTGGCAAGAGATAATTTTTTCGATCACAGTCTCAGATGAATAACTCTTTGATGATGCACAGTGGTCACATCAGTTGGTGTGTGCGCATCTGTTTGTCTGTCTGTCTATCTGTGTGCATGCCTTTCCGTGTGTGTATGAGTGTGTGTGTGTGTGTGTGTGTGTGTGTGTGTGTGTGTGTTTGTTTGTTTGTGTGTATGTGCGTTTGCACGTGTGTGTACGCTCGCTGTATTTGTGTATGTGTGTGTGTGCGTTTGCACGTGTATGTACGCTCGCTGTATTTGTGTATGTGTGTGTGCGTGCGTGTGAGTGTATGTGTGTGTGTGTGTGTGTGTGTGTGTGTATGTATTTGAGAGAGAGAGAGAGTGTGTGTGTG